TAGAGGAGCATCCAGAAGCAAACTCAAAAAGACATTACTGCAAGCTTTGGCCTTACTATAATTAAAACACTTCACTTATGCCTACGACATGGTGTGCTTTTAAAAATGCCATCTGAAAGAACCCAAAATTAAAATATGCATTACTACAAAACTATAGACCAAGACCAAGGCAGCTGTGCGTGACTGCCATGAAGTTTAACATTCCTCTCCGTGTTGTGATCCTTCCAAAAGCAATGGACTGTTCAATGACATAACATCAGGGCACCAATCTGCAGCTAGCCCTCTTGCAGGCAAGTAGAACACAGCAAAGAGCTATTCGCAGTCAAGGTGTTAAGGAATTATTGTGTGTTAGTTACTTGGGATTCTGTTTTTAGCCACAGCATATTTAACTACAAAGGGCTCACAATTAAAATATGCCTAGAGAGGCAAAATCAAAAGCAAGAATTGTAGTCCTTGCTGCAAAATACCTTCACCTTAGGTGCTGATAGCATTTTGTTGCACACAGGAAACATTGCCATACTCATGGAGTCCCTCCTCTAGGTCAAGAGTTACACTTTTCCCTTATGAGGACCATTTTTAACATACAAAAAAAAAATCCTACAGATGTACATATCACAGCCAAAAGTTGTTCTTTTAAAATCTAAGTGTGAACACTGAATAATCAAAAGCTAATATGGTTTTGAGATGCTTCAAAGGGCACTGTATTTTATACAGCTCTGTCGTACATTCATGTACTGAAATGCACCAGGTGGCTTGATGGCTCATTTGACAAGCGGAGTCTGAGTTCAACTCTCCACCTTTTGTAGTAGCCACAAGCTTTTTTACCAACAGTGACATGTATTCCACAGCAGCTCTAGTGTAGGCTCTAAAATTTCACCAAAGGATGGGAAGTAGCCAAATGTCACCACTAATCCTCTGCTTCCCTCTTCAGATGGAATACTTGATCTAGTAGTTATGGCATGCTCATTTTAGACCTCCAGCTGGAAACAGAGCATCTCTATCACCTTTCTGAGGCTCAAGGAACATCACAGAAGAGAAACTGAAAGAATGTAAGAGTTACAGGTTGGGGAGGAATACTGTCCAAGTACCTACAGAACAGGACGTGGCATTGCACTCAGAAACTCACAGTAACTGGGATTAGCCACACAACACACATACAGGAGATTGGATCCATCATTGGCACATCACGGATAAGAGATGGGTTGTGGTTAGGGTGTAATGTCCTACTCATCACTGAGAGACTATGGGCAATTGATGATGTTGAGAGAGGGGAGTGACACTCTCCTCAGTGGTACAGCCATTGATACACTCTGCACATTCCAGTAAATAACTCTGGACTCATACTCAGGAATGCAACCCCAATTAAACTCCATGGGTCAAAAACAGAGATATTAAAGTAGAGTGACCTTGCCAGGAAAAAGAAAGATTTTAGTAGGTGACAGAGAATGATGAGCAAGCATAATAGTGGGTAAAAACTCAGTGTATACATATGTGAAATTGTCAAAGAATAAAAAGCAAACTAGAAAGAAATCACCAGTGGGTTATTGTGAACAACTGACCATATTGTTAGCCATGGCTGTTTTCCTATGGAAAAAAATCAACAGAATAATTTCAGTAGAGAAGTTTGAAGGGAGAAAGTGTAAAGATAAAAATGTTTAACTTGGAGCAAGGGTGCCAGTGATCTGAAGCGTGCTAACCCACAGATTCTGATCAGACTCATGATAGTAAACTTGTAGAATTAAATCAGACCTGAAAGTCCTCCCCCATTCACAGGTTTGATGTGTTAATTATCACTTAGATATTAATCCTGTTAAGAACTCTAAATTAAGGACTCATGGTATAGCTAGGAAGCTGCCTGATGCTAAAGTGATTATGGCTGTCTTTTAAAGTTATATACTGGGAAATACCACCTTGTGAAAACATAAAGACTTATGTTAAATTCATACTCTGAACTCTAGAAATTTATAATGCCCATGCAAGTGGTTTTGGATAATGTGATGTCCTTCTGATGTTCAAGGCTCAGTCCCCGGTGCTTCATCTACAGAGCACCTCTGAAGCTTGGTCACTAATTGTGCTATTCTTTTCTTCCCATACCAACTGGCATACACTACTTAGAATTCTTTAATCTGTTTATCTTAATCATGCACTTAATATATCGTATCATTTGTCATTTTGACTGTTAACTGAATAGGACCAGTCCAACTCTTCTCTATCATTCTATTCAAGCTTTTCAATCAAAGTTATTACATTAATGCCTAATCCTTACAAAGGTGTGCAGAACATCAAAATTACAGCTTGGGCAAGATTGTTTTTCTATGAAAGAATTGTATTACTCTAGCTTCAAGTTCTGAAGTACAATTAAAATGGGTTGACAGACTGAAAATTGTTCCGACACTCCTCTTCCATTAACTTCCATCCTAGCTTTTCATTCTGTCTGTCTGTCAATGATTTAAAGACAAACTTTATTTTACAGATACAAAAAAAAAGAATTATTCCCTCAGAAATATGACTCGCAGCAAGCAAAGTTCTCAACGTCCTTTCTAAAGAAGAGCATTTTAACAATATCACTTTCCTTCCATCCTTCTCTTACTCTTGAAAGGCAAGCTCAGTAGGAGAACAGAATTGCACATCCAGTCACCAACTTATTAATGCCAGCCCTCAAAACAGCAGTCTGTGTTTACATGGTTTTTATGGTCAGTAATTATTTCCTATCTGTCTAGCCTTTCAAGTTTTTAACAAGCAACAAACTGGATGAAAAAACAATGGAGACAGATTAAGAAATATTGCAAAAATCATTTTTTTCAAGTATCAATTTAAATATTGAGGTAAATATTGAGTGAGTCCATTGTGTTTCCAGCCTCACAATAGACCAAGGAGGTCCAGCATCAGCAGGCAGCATGCTCCAGGAACTCACATCTCCAAGTCCTTGTGAAGTCCTCAGAACCCTGGAAGGTCTGCACGCATTCAGTGCTTCTGGACCTGCCTGTGAGAACATGAAAGGCTTCTCCACATCTTCTAAACCAACAGGAACCCTCATAATTCTTTAGAAGCATATGTGTAAGTTACCACATGACCAGAAAAATCATTTTCATAATTCTTTTTTACTTAAATTTGCGTGAAAGGGGGTTTTCAGTCCTCAACTTCCAGCAAGTAGATGCAAAGTATACAGTGACCAGGGAAAGCTGAAACCAGTCTGGAGGGCTCCACTCCCTTCTGCTGTTCTTGTACCCTAGAGATACACGTAACTCCTCACCTTAAGTTTTTCAAGGAGGCTCTTGTTAGTAATGGCACTGAGTTTTAGAAACAGGAGTACATCAAAGGAAAATCTCAAGACAGAAACTTTATCTAACCTTTAGCCCACAGACCAAAGCATGCACTCACCACTGCACAGGACTTCTTGTTTTGGTTAGTAGAATCCTTGAATGGCTCCCAGAGAGCCTTAACTGAGTATTGTCAAGAGTCAGGGAGGGAGAGGGGAGCTTCCCTGTAGACCATCTCCTCCTAATTACCCAGCAATCCCAGATCGCTTTCGGAAAATGCCAGAGGGGATACGCTCTCTTGGACATTCAAAGAATCCAAAGAAAGCTTAGCAAAGGAAACTCCAGGTACACACACACACACACACACACACACACACACACACACACACACACCCCACAGGTTGGTGTGACTCCGCCTGCATGGATTACCCATCTAATAATAATGAATACTCAAGATATGTTGAGAAAACACCAGGTAGGCGTTTTCTATAAGAAGGCCACATACAAAAGCATAAATGCACCCGAACTGGGAAGCAGCCGATTACCAACAGACCACCCAGCATCAAAAAGAGCACCAGGAACCCTGGCGCTTTCTACAGAGAGTGCCAAAGTCTCCTAATACCACTGGAACTCCACTCACTGGACTGAATGGAATCACAAGAGCTCTTAAAGGATGCTCACTCTTTAAGAATTCCAAAAGAGAAAAGTACCATTAGATGGCATGCCTGCCTCTATAAATAAGTGGTGTGTGTGTGTGTGTGTGTGTGTGTGTGTGTGTGTGTGTGTGTGTGTAAGAAACAGAGAGAGCCAGGGAATGCTTACTGCCTTCCGACTCAACACACACACACACACACACACACACACACACACACACACACACACGTTCATTCCAAGCTTTCCAACTTCAAGATTCAATGTATGGAGACGCCAGAGAGCTGAGGTTTCATTTCCCCGTTCAAATAACTTTAATAGTATATGGAACGTGCAAGATGCAAGGTGGATGCTGTGGGGGAAAGCGTGCTTCTCCTCCTCCTTGCCTCCCACCCTGACATGCTGGACCTGGTTTTTCTCTCAAAAAGCAATGAGGCTTCATGTAGGACCTATGGGCTCCCCTCTTCCCCAGGACTCCCATCGCCCCACAGGGACCACAACACATAAACTGTTATTGTGGCCTTCTGCCTCTGCACTGATAAATCAGAGGACGCCCGCAAAACTTCTTGGCTTGCTCAGGTATCCTCTCTGGTCCCTTGCATCCACGCGCAGATTTCGCAGTTCGGGCTCCCCAAAGGGGACCCTTCAGTCTATCAGTTTAAAAACCCCACAGAACTCGCTGCACTGGGATCCAAAAGCTCCAAGGCTCCCCGCGCAGGATGAGGAACCCCAAGGCTCCCTTCATTCGTTCCCTACAAAGCAACCTGGAGCTTCATGCTTTCTCAGTCCAGTTGCCTTGAGACCCATGCCCAACTAGCGTGGGGTGTTCCCGCCTGCCCTCTGGTTTAGAGGGTCCAAGCATGCTGCACCCTGGCAGCCAACCTTTCCCGCAGCCTAGAGCCAAAGGTTTAGGTTCCAAGTTCCCGCCTCTGCCTGGTTGAAGGGACAAGGGAGGCTGCCTGGCTAGGAAAGTCTGTGCGGAAGGCGCCCCCTTAGTCGGGCAGCTGTCTCCTCCATCCCGGCTGGCCAGCCAAGGGAACCCTCGGCATCAGACCCCGCCAGCTCGGGGCACAGCGCGGCCGCACTCACCAGCCTCGCCCGAGCCGCAGCTGCAGCCTCTTGGAGCTGCCAAGCCCCGAGCTTCCCCAGTGAAGATGGTGGTGTGTGTGTCGGGAGACCACCCATTCCAGCGTCTGGCAACCCAGCGGCGACTCTGACTGCTCAGCACTGAAGCTGGAGGAAGAGGAGGACGAGGAGGAGGAGGAGGAAGGAACGGCGCAGTCGGACGCCATCTGCTGTACACCTCTGCGCATCCATTGGCTGCCTGGTGCGTCCCCCGGAGCCGCGGGGCGCCGGGCCGCGGGGAGCCACCTTGCGCCTAGCCTCCCGCAGCAGCTGCTCCCGTGCCCCTCCCTCATCCCTTTTCCTCCTCCCTCATCTCTCCTCCGGCCCCTCCTCCCCTTCTCCGGGTTAGTGCACCCTTCAGACCCCAGGGCTCCTCAACCAGCTCCCCTGAAGGAGCAGCCTGAGGTGCAACTGGCCTTAACGCCCTGGGCTCCTCTGCACCCCTCGATGCAACTGTTTTTACAACTCTAGAGCTTCTGGGGTGCAGGTGCTGGCTAGATGAGGCTGACTCCACAGCTGCTGCGTTGAGCACCTGATGCCTAACCTACTAAGTATCACAGGGAATTACTCTGAGCCTGACAGTGGGCACAAGGGGGAAATCCAAGGAAAGATGGGGTAGAAAGAGGAAAAGGGGTGGGGTTGCTTTTGGCACACTTGCCGGCAGGCTCTCACTGATCCAAGCCTCAGGCTTCCCCAAGCTTCAGAGTTCTTCCCAGCGACTACATAAAAAGACAAAGATCCCAGCAGGGTGTGTAGGAGAGGCGCACTGGGGATACCACTCCTGGGGACCACTGGTGGTACTAAGGCTTGAGACTCCCCGGAGGCTGTCGCTGCGAATCAATCAGTTACCTTGAAAAAGCCTCAGCTCTGGGACCGCTGGTTTACAGGAGATTCTTGGTCCTAGGGTGAGTGTGCAGGAGGTGCGGTGTGGGAAGTTCCCCTAGATAGGGATGCCAGAGGCAGCAAGGAGCTGCAGAGTCCTAGCCCACACAGGTGAGGCCAGCAGGAATGCAGCCCAGACAGCTTTCAGGCAGGCAAGGAACAGCATCAGCGCTGAAGGTCCTTTGCCTACTCTGACACTTGTTCCAAACCCTCCTGGTTTCTGACAGCTTTGATCCAGAGAACTTCTTAAGCTTGTTCAGAGAGATGAGGTTGCTTCAAAAGGAGAAAAGGAAGGAAGGTGGGGGGGAGCAAAGACTACCTATTGCCAATTACCGGGTATTTTGCGTGTCTTAGCTCTTTAAAAGTGTGAGCCCAGAGACAGCAGGGAATATATCCTTCTTATTTTATCCAGTGCCTGGCACACCATGGGTGTCTAAAAAGAAGCAAAAATAATAATGATAAAATTAAAGCTTGATGTCATAGCACAAATTAGATTAAAGAGATAGAGTAGCTAGGATCTGCCACAGGGGGACAAACAAATCAAAAGAATGTAAGTGCCATTGTAAATGGAAACGTGAGTATTTTGGTGAGCAGCTTCCTGTGGGACAGGCTCGGAAAGTTGGAAGCATTGGCACTGGAAGCAGCAATCTCTATCGTCCTGGTGAGTGCTGTGCTCACATTCCGGGTTATGCCTCTTTCTAGACCATTGCCTTAAAAATACATCAGCTGCCATCCAGATTTCTGAATATCTCCCCAAATCCAAGACCACACGATTTGATATCCCCAAGTGATAAACAATGCCAAGGAGAAATGGGCCCATTATATTTTATTGTAATCTCGATATACGTACAGATCAATAGCCAATGGCTTTCATTTAAGTAACTTGAGAAACAACAGCCAGAGAAAAACATGTCTGCTTTCCTGAAGTGTTACACCAGGGCTTCCCAGGTTTCCAGCTTCCCAGAATCCATGCTGCATCTTCAGATCTGATCCCTCACACACACTCTCTAATCACAAAGCTCGGCATTGCAGCCTTTCTTGAATGGGCCGTCAAAGATTGACTTTAGAATATGTCATTCATGACCATCTTGGTACTTACCCACCCCACTTCAGAGGCATTGGCCTGTATATTTTTTCTTTAGGCTAGTGACTTGATTTGAACCTGCATTCTAAATTTAATAAGCAAGCTCCTCCTTACTAATCCCACACACTACCCCAGCAATTATTTATGATGCTCATAAAAAATACTTAGATTTCTTTTAAGACCCAGCTTTCCTCCTCTGTCTCTCCTATTTGGTCTCCCAGTGTTCAGATATAAAGATATAGATAATACTTATATCACCATTATGTCCTATGCATTGGGCTTCTTTATGTGTGTGTGCATATGTATACATACACATGTGTGTGTACACAAACACATGGTATATGTGTGTGTGCATGGTTTATGAGTGTATGTGCTCATACGTGTTACATGTATGTGTGTTTGTGTGTGTGTATGCATGTGTTTGAGCACACACGTGGAGGTCAGAGGTCAGCATCAGGCTCCTCCTTTACCGCTCTCCACCTTATTTTTTAAAGACAAGGTCTCCCATTGAACCTGGGGCTCACTAATGCAGCTGTGCTAAGCTAGCCACTGATCCCTCTGTCTGACCAGCTGCCTGATTACAGGCATACGTCCCTGCTCCTAGCTTTTAGTGTCATGCTGGGGATCAGAACTCTGGTTCTCATGCTTGTGATACAAATACTGCACTGGCTGAGCCATCTTCCCAGCCCCTGTATTTGGCTTCTTAAAAGAAAAGAAAAACAATTTAGAAGAATGAAGTCCAAGTGAGTTCTAAATACAAAAGACCCACGAGTATTAAACATCATTACTTCTTTCTCCCATTAGCCAGAGGACAGTCACTCCTCTTTAAGGCACCATGCTGACCATAGTACTTTGGGAAAGTCACAGTGTAAGATGACAGAATTTTACCTGGCATTGTGTAATAGTGCATAAATCTGGTAGAAGGAAAATGCCGACCAAAGATTCCTTCTAACCTCATCTTTCTGCTGCTAGCCCCAAACCCCTGGTTTACGTCCAAATGGGATTTATTAAAATACCAATTCCTTCCTGAGATAATCTGCTTTGGTCCTTAGAACAGCACTGGCCTTAGAACAATCACCTGCATTAGATGAGAAACATTTAAAGGATATCCTAGGCAGGATGATAGGCAAGAACAACTGTTAGACAGGAACAGAGATTTTACAAAATACAGGACCAGGGAAAGCGTTTGGAAGAGCATAGCCTTGAGAGTAGGTGGCATCATTATCCGTGGGGAACAGATCAATAGGGGTGGGAAGAAAGCAGGAGGTTAGAGATTCCCATAACCCCCCCACACAGATGGTAAAGGTGCCAGTCGCCAACCTTCCAACAAGTGCAGAGGAAACAACAGCACAATAGAAGAGGGAGGCCTGCTGGGGTTCCTTCCCTAGTGCAAAGCAAAGCTGGCCAGCATGACAGAGGAAAGTAACCCTTGCTATCCAGGCACTGGTGGAGTTTAAAGGTTCATTTGTTGCTGCTGGGTGTGTTTGCCACTGCCATTTCTGAACACCAAGTTTTCCATACACAACAAGCTTGGGTGAGAAAAACATCATGTAAACAAAATAAACGAATGTAGACATTAAACAAGAGATAGAGAAGGGATGCTGATAAGGAAGACCAATTTAAAACAGGAGTGAGAAATGCAAGTGCTGGTATCTCAGGCTTACACCCAGGAAGTCTCTGTTGAATACCCACATGCAAGGAAGCAGCCAGTTGAGTCCAACACTAGGTCACTTTGGGGGAGCAGAGCTGGAGGAGGAGGGAGAGAGAAAAAGGGACTATGATTGTCTCATTTACACAATTCATTCGGGCCAATTCCAGGTTGGCTGAGATCCTGTGGCAAAAACTGAACATTTTTTTTTCTGCCAAAAAAGAGCATTTAGTGTTGGCATAGATGTGCAAGTTTTGAGTTTGGTCCAGTAATTTGATTTTGATATGTCAACATCTTAAAATACAACTTAAAGATAATGTCTTGAAAAGTAGTGCAACAAAACTCCACTGGCCTCTGGCCCAGCTCTCCTGCACTGGGGCACTAAAATCTTCTGAGAATACCCTCAGCATCCCCAAACTTAGTCCCAAGCCATCAGCCTCAGTGATGCATTAATATATTTGCTGTGTGCCTAGTATATGCCTACTAACACAGCATTAGGTGTTCACTATCTGGTGATTTAGTTGGCTTACCCTCATGGAGTTTATTGCTAATAGGAACAATAAACACACAGTCCTACATGCGTTATGACCATATCAGATGAAAGAAAAGAAGAGTTCTATCTAAAAAGATACGAGTTCAGAAGAATGGAAAGGGACAAGTGGAGGAAAACCTCTCGGAGGAAGTAATGTTTAGGCTCAAACACAGAAGATAATGGGGTGGGCAGATATAATATGTGTAGATGAATTTCTAAACGGTCTTATTAAATTAAAAAAAAAAACAGAGCCAGATATAGGGGTGAAAACCTATGAGATCAGGGAAATAGGGAAAGCCACAGCTAACCTTATCTCACCAACTCTGCAGCTTTCAAAGGCGAGCTACTTCCTGTCTACCCACACCTATATGCCTCGCTGTTCTACCATCTGATTTGCTCTCTCTGTTCAGCTACATCACTTCCTCTTCCTGCCCAGCTCTGACACTTCCTGTCTATCTATATAGACCTCCAGACCTCCATGTTTAACTAGTGTTGGAATTTAAGGCATGTGCCACCACACCTGGCTCTGTTTCCAGTGTGGCCTTGAACACACAGAGATTACGCCTGCCAAGTGATAGGATTAAAGTCATGTGCTAACATGGCATGACTTCTGTGGCTGGCTTTTTCCTCTGATCTCTAGGCAAGCTTTATTAATTAAAGCACAAATAAAATATCACCGCACTTCAGCACAAATAAAATATCACCACATTTCCTGTTCTCAATACTAGATATTGAGCTTAGTCATTCTCACATATCATTTAATCTATGCAACCGTACCTGTGAGGCGCACACTGTTACCAGCTCCATTTGACAACAGAGCCATAGAGAATGGAAGTAGCTAAGTCACACAGCTGAGGAGTGATGCTTGGATCCGACCACAGACAGTCTGGTGCTGTGTGCATACTCAACCACTGAGACATACTCTCTTGTACAGTTGGGAATGGTAGAGACATGAGATAATGTGCCAGGACCCGTCACTGAAGGAGATGGCACATAACCAGTCAAGGAATGAGTATCTGAAGTGCAGTGACAGTGGTGGGGACGACCACCAGGCAAGATGGGAGAGGCAGGCAGAGGGCAGACCTGGTCAGTCCCTGTAAGCCCATGAGTAGTGTTAGCAGTCTACATG